TCTCTTTTAACCTTTAAAGAAACAGCTATGATTTACAATAAATGCTAAGAAATTGTTAGTTCTTGATTTCTTATTTTTTTCTATATTTTTCTTTTTGTAAAAATTTCATGTTTAAAATACAAATCATTATGTACAGTTGAGAAATTCTTTAATATTGTAGCTAATTTTTTAAATAACTGAATTAATCTAAAAGGAATGCATAAGAAATTTTAATTATAGTAGCTTTAAAAAAAGCATTTTTAATTACAGACTTGAAGAAAAAATTAGACAGAGACGACTTGAAAAAGAAGAACAAGAAAGAAAATCAGCAATTGAGAAAGAAAAACTGAGGAGGCGAACTGGTCAAGAAATTGCTCTTGCTAGACAAAAGTAAAAATTTTAATTTATTTAATTTTTATCATAAAGAATATTCAGAAAATGCTCTTTGTTAAATGAATTTTTTTGTGTGTATTGATGATGTTTTTATTATATTTGTTTTCTTTACAGTTAAATATTTATAAGTATATTTAAGAATCAGTATATGTTAGTAAAACAAAGAATTATTTTAAATTATTTGCCTTGATTGTCTAGGTACAAAATAGATGTTTAGGATTAAAAAATTTNTTACAGTTAAATATTTATAAGTATATTTAAGAATCAGTATATGTTAGTAAAACAAAGAATTATTTTAAATTATTTGCCTTGATTGTCTAGGTACAAAATAGATGTTTAGGATAAAAAAATTTTATAGAATGTATAAATTTTTAATTAAAAAATTATTTTAAAAAATTAAGATGATAAAACATCAATATATAACTACTATCAGAATATATGCAGATTATGAAGACCTTTTTAAATCAAAATGTGCTTTAAGTACTTCAAATCTTTGAAATAAGAGAGAAATTACAGTGACGCTTCTAGTTTGCTGTAGATGTTAGATTTATTTATGATTGGCAGAATATAGATTATCTGTCATAATTGAAACTGAGATCATAATCATTCAGCAGGTGACTGAAATTAAATTATATTTATAGTCATGTATCAAAATGAGTGCTCTTTGAGATGTTTTTATCTAATTTGCTAGTAAACAAATAATTTTTTTTAACTGAATTACTGAGTTATTAAATACATATTAGAATAAGTTTTTAATGATTGATGATATCTAAGTATTTAAACTTAAGTTTGATTTATTATGAAATAGACTTGAAGAAGAGCAACAGAGAAGAGAAGCTGAGCTAATACGTCAAGAAAAACTAGAAGCTAAATTAGCTAGGTATAACATTTGTATTTTATTTTATTACTTAAAAATAATCTGCGTTCAGAAACTCAATATATTTGATTTTAGCTAATTTAGATAAATATATAGAATATTAGTTGGAAAATGAATTGCCACTGTTGTTTTGTCCATCTATCTGTCCTTCATTAATCTTGAGAATGGAATAAGATAGATGAAAATTGAGACCAGATATGGAAAGCCTAGGAGCCACAGATCTCAATTAACTATATATGAACTTCCAACACTGGAAGTCATGTGATTTCAATTCAAAATTTTCTCAAAAATGGAGTTAGACAGATGACATGTCTCAATTTGATTGTTTTCAAGAAAAGTATGATGTGCAGGGGTAAGACACAACTAAAATTAAGTCTAGATATGGAAAACTTAAGGTAGGAGATCCTGATTATGAACTTCTGATCTGGACAGGAGTCATGATTTCTTTTAATTAAAAATTGTAGCCCAGTACTGTGAAAGTATTACAATAAATAATTGCTTGTATTAATTATATTGTTATATTAATTTAAAGTAGATTTTAAAATGTTTAAATGTTATTTATATCAAATTAAATATTTATTTATCTTACTTAAACTAATTGAAATCTGCAGTTTCTAATGATAGTGATTTATGATAGAATTAAACGAATATTAAAATAAAAGTTGTATATTGTGGATAAGGGACTGTCTTATCAAAGCTGTAAATTATATTGATTTTCAAGTGAGAATTGTGAATTAACAATAATTTTTTTTAAAGTTTAATGTTATAAGAATGTTATAAGAATATTTTTTTGGTTTAGATCTAATTTAGTTAAATTTATAAAAAATTATTGAAAACACATTAAAATAAACCTTCTGAATTTTGATTACCTATATAAAAAATCTTGTATTTTATCAAATATTTAAATTTTATGTTTTATAAAAATTTAAAGGCAGAGAATTTTAGAAGAAATTGAAAGAGATAAGTTAGCTCGTAAAGAAATGTTTGGAACAGTTGGAAATACTGCACCTGTTATATCAACTGTAAATAGTTCTAATACTGTTTCAACTACTACAACTACAGTCCCACAAAGACAATATGATCAATGCAAACTTCAGGTAAGTTACTTGTTTTTACTATTAAACTTTTAGTAATTTACACATCAGCAAAAGTGCTTGTATTGATTAATATATCTCAAGAATAGCTATTATATTATAAATCTAGTTTAAATTGTAACCAGATTGATGTAAAGTTGAAAAAGAGGACTAATGAGGGATTTGTCCAAAATTCATATGCTAAGGAATCAATAAAAGCCTGTACATCCATCTTAATTGTGTGTTACTGTACTTTATGCTTACTCATAACAATTACAACAAGAACAAAAGATATTCAAGTACATATTAATAAATATATGAAGCGTTCAATACCATAATGTTGTAAATGCCAAAAATCAAACTTTTCAGAAGAGGTAAAAAAAAAACTTTTTCTAGTGAATGAATTCATTTCAAGTTTATAGTAAAATGGTAAAAACTCATTATGTTACAAATTCTCTGGGATATCAAAATGATGTAAATGTAAGCTGTAATGTTTTAAGTGCCAAAAGTCACTTGACTTGCATTTTGGAGCTTTAAATGTTATGGCTTTACATAAATTCAACTTCAAAGTACGGCCACTTACAGTGCCACTATCACCACAATATTTTTTTTGCAGTAGAAAACATTGCGTTTAGAATTCAATTCTTCAATAAAACATACTTAGAGAAAATTGGCATTTACATTATGGCATTGCACACTTCATATACTTTTGTATATGGATTATACAGGATTTTTTTAATGAATAATAAATAAATAATGGCATTTTTCTTTTTTTCAAAGCCATGTAGATTTATGGTTGTGGATTAATAATGTGATAAACTACTTTAATTTTAATAAAATATTTTATTTTTAATTTTAATAATTTAGCATTTATAAAAAATATATAAATGCTAATTAGAAAAAATAGCTAATTTAAAATTTGGAGAAGCAATAGCATATGTGCATAGTAAGTCAAATGCTATTTTATTTCATCAATGTGCCATAAGAGATTTGGAATTTGTACAAAGTTGGTCAGGGAAAGTCATGGAATTTAAAACAAAAATTTGAGAAGGAACCCTGCATTTATTAGCTTCTGATGAGATTATCAGAAGCCAATATGTGGGTTGTTTTCCTTTATATTGTTCGATACTCAGTTTTATGCAGAAAAGAAGAACATAAAGAAATATTTTTTGCTAATCTGCTGTTATCTATTAATCAACCTAGTGAAGTCCCAACTGTCCAGTATAGGTTTCCAACTATCATTAAGGGACATTAAGGAGTCTTTAGTATTAATAACAGTTAAATATTTAAAGGAACTAAAGATGTATTTGTTCAAGTATCCTGATAGGGCTCTCTTTGATAAGAATAGTCTTATCTCAGATAACACAGACAACACTGAACAATTGCAGACTTATTGCATAAGAGAAGTATTGATCACAAATTGGGCTAAGCTATAACAGTGATAGTGTTCTTTTATTCTTTTAGACAGTGATCTTGTGGATCTTGTGGACAGTAATAGAAGTTCCCCCCCTGTTTCAAGGCATAAACGACAATTTAGAGAGTGCCTTGGCTCTGTCTTTGACACAGTGAAATATGTTCATAATTGTAGGTAATCTAAAGTGAGCATGCATCTAGAATATGATGCTACTAACAATGCGATAGTCTTACCAGTAACTACTAGTACACTGTGATAAAAACATTGAAATTTTTCTCTGTAGTTCAACGGTAAAATTATTACATTGTTGTTTGGTAGTTTTTAACCTGTCCCGTGTTGTTCTCAAGTATTTTTGTGTTGACCACATTTGACCTAACCTGTTGACCCCGAATATATATTAGTTTCTGCATTGGAACTTTTTTTAACATCAGATGTCGCTACTTGTACAGAATTCCAAAATTAGTGACTCATCAAAA